GGGAAGCAGATTGCTAGCAAGCATTGCTTTAGCATTGAAACTCCTGCACTTAATCAGATGATGCTGTCTATAGAAGTACCGCGTATCTTCTATTTATGCTCTTGCGTGATCCTCTTTCCTACGGTAACTATGACAACAGCTCTGAAATTCATGGATTCTCCATATTATTAGCTGGAAATCGCGTGCTCAAACCACCACAGACATCCCCTAATACCTCATTATTTATAACATCAACTCTCGGCTCAGCTGACCACCAAAATCTTCTCATTTTTGGCTCATCAAGTTTTGACATTCGAACCGTGCTATCCGATGCAACTTCTGCAGTACAGTCATTTCCGACGAACGTAATACATTATTGTGATCTGCAAAATCGTTTTATAAAGCATTAGCGTTTTTATATTTAAGCAGTAAAGATTGCAATGACTCTTTTTGCATAATTGTCTCTTTCACTAACCATTTCCCGGCTGCTAAGTTCAATTCACCTATTATTCCTTTCCAGAAATAAGGAGCATATGAAGGAAGAAGAGAAGGAACTGTTTGCTGCTATTGAAGCAGGTATATTTATCGCCTTGCTTACTTTTTGATTTATCTATGTTTCTGTGGAAATTGAGGGTATAAATCAAGTCAAATTTTGACAGTCTCCATAAAAACCTGTGTGATTTTATATTTGGCACAAGATACGCTACTTCAGAAAGAATCTCAATCTATGGTACTGATGTGAACAGTCGAAAATACTCTCTTGTTTTGATGTAGTTATACGTCCGTTTTGTTGCAAAAATGGAATAACGTGCCTCATCGAATTCCATCACCCTTTAAATTGACTCCCTAAAATCATTCAGGAGCTCAGCGTTCAATTAGAAATTATTTCTTACCAAGTAACAAAATCAAGCTTAGGCTTAATAGTTACAACTGAAGTCTGAACGCAAACAAGAGGGATGACAATTATGCCGAAGTACTTAACTGTCTCTTTCAGTTGTCATATCTCGCCTCCCGTAACTTTCTCCATGCTTTTCTTGCTCCATAGTGGTTTTTTGCATTAAAACTTTTCGTATTTCTTAGGAGATGCTGCGAAAGTGACTGAGTTGATCAAGTCCGGTATTGATATCAATTGTCACGATGCAGGAGGGATGTCTCCGCTCTCAACTGCTGCCTACAAGTAAGTTCAGACTTTGTTTTGTTCTCTATTAGCATCTGGTAAAGAGGTGCGTAGGTATTTGTATAGAGGTTTTTTGATGCTAGGACTATGAAGATTACTTTAATTATCCTCTAAGTTAACTTGGTAGATTTAGATCTCTCCTCTAGTTTTGAGCTCTTTTTGTTTAGCAGTTTGATTTTTGGTATTTTTACAGAGGAAATTTTGACATCGCCAAATTCTGTCTAGAAGAGGGAG